GAAGAGAAACACGTAAAGGAGAAAAACATATCAAGGAAAAAGAAAAAACATGCATAAAGAAGTTGGCGAGGAAGGTTGGGAACGAGCCGGAGAGGTGATTGTCTGCCAGCTGGCTGGAAGAAAAAAGAAAAGAAAAGCCCATAAAGGAAACGACAAACTAAACTTCTTACATGGGACTGGCTTGCGCGAGGCAGAGAGCCGTTGAGCTTTGCGGGATCACATACACACCGTGCCTTTACCCCTGTACTCCCTATCAAGTATGCAATTGCCCTACATGCTCTCCCGCGACTGCCCTACATGCTCTCCTGTGACTGCCCTACATGGTCTCAAGTGCTCGGAGCTTCATGAGCGCGAGAGGCAGAGTGCCGTTGAGCCTTGCAGACCGAATCTCCCTGGAGAAAGATAGACATGGGGAAGGGGAGGGGGGAAAGGAGGGGGGTTGGGGTGGGGGAGGGGGGACGAGGGTTGAGACCCTTTATTTAGGAATCCGAAGATGATTAATAAGGGGAACACGAAGCGGCGGCATGTGCCTGTAAGGATTTGCGAAGAGTAGCGTCGTGAGCCTTGCAAGGGAAGGGTGCGGTTTATAATAAAAAGTGGGTTAAACAAATAAGAGGGCTGACTACAAAGCATACAGCAGTTTGAGGGACTTCATCAGGCCCAGTGCGGTGTGTGGAGTGGAGGGCAGTGAGTTTTGAGTCGACTCAAAAGTCGTCTCCCTACAAAGCATATTTCCTAGGCACCGGAACAATAGAGGGCCAGATACAACGCATACAGCAGTTTGAGGGACCTCATCAAGCCCAGTGCGGTGCGGAGGGCAGTGCGTTTTGTTTGAGTCGACTCAAAAGTCATCTCCCTACAAAGCATACATCAGTTTTTTTCTTAGGCGCCGCAACAATAGAGGGCCGACTACAAAGCATACATCCGTTTATTTCTTAAGGCTCTGCAAAAATAAAGGGCCGACTACAAAGCTTACAACAGTTTGAGGGACTTCATCAAGCCCAGTGCCGAGGGCAGGCTGCCCGTAATGGGGTTGTATGCGAGGTCCCTGCTTGGATGGGGCAAGGGGTGGGAGGGGTGAGAGGGGAGAGCGGAGTGGGAGGGTGAGAGGGTGGGTGGGTGAGAGGGGGGAGAGGGGTGGGAGGGGAGACGCTCAGGCTAAGCAGAAGCGGCTGGGTTGCCATCTCTAGGAGCCCCCTGCTGCTGCCAGGCTCCCTGACATGCGGCTGTACGCGGCCCCTGGTTGGATTGTGGAGGGGCGAGAGGGGTAAGAGGGCTTGGTGGAGGGGTGAGAGGGGTGAGAAGGCTTGGTGGAAGGGTGAGAGGGCTTGGAGAATGACTGGCCCAGATTAGGATTCCTCCCTTGCCTTGGAGGTTGGAAGCATTTACGCTAAAAACAAAGGTTGCAAAACGGGCAGGGGTTTGCAGTGGAGCGTACAACATGCATGAGCTTTCTCAGGTGTGCTTTGAGTTTGGCTCGAAACACGTTTGCAGTAGAGCGTACAGCATGAGGGGCTTCTGATTTTGAGTCGAATCAGAAGCAGAACGGGCAGGGGTTTGCGGTGGAGCGTACAGCATGATGAGGTTTCTCAAGCTGCCGACGGCAGAAGGGATGGTCCCCGTAATGTTGTTGTATCTTAGGCGCCTGCCCCGTTGTCACACATGCCATGCATATGTATACAATGCCATGCACATGATGCCATGCACAAGATGCCATGCACAAGATGCCATGCACAAGATGTCATGCACAAGATGCCATGCACAAGATGCCATGCACGTCACGCCACGTGATGTGAGGCACCAAGGATGCACCAAGGATTGAGATCACAACACGAACAGCTGGAGTTACAAAGCACTAATGGGCAAAAAAACAGAAGGTCGCCTCTTGAAATCAGACCAGCGGGACTCAACCAGAGGGACTGAAACCAGCGGGACTTAACAGCCAGCGGCACTGAAACCAGAGGGTCTTACAACAACCGCGGGGCGTACAAGTTACAACCAGCGGACTTGCAACCAGCGGACTTGCAACCAGCGGGACTTACAACCACTGGGGCTTACAGAAGTACGAGGTTGGAGAGTGCGTGTGATGCAGGGAAGAACGTCTCTCTCTACACCATAACGGGGTTTGGGCGGGACTGAAACCAGCAGGACTTACAACCAGCGGGACACTGAAACCAGCGAGCAGCGGGACCTACAACCAGCAGGACGCTGAAACCAGCGAGCAGCGGGACTTACAACCAACAGGGCGCTGAAACCAGCGAGCAGTGGGACATACAACCACCGGGGCTTACAGAAGTGTGAGGCTGGAGAGTGCAGAGATCGCACGAGGCAGAGAGCCAATGATCGCATTGCCATCAAGAGACCTGGACAATCGGTGCGGTGGGTGCACACTTAAGCCTTAGCAGCTAATCCATTCTTTGGACAGAGAGGATAGCAAGGTTGGAGAGTGCTGAGATCAAAGGAGGCAGTGGGTCACTGGCTGCACTGCCATCAAGACACGTATTGGTTGTAGCTTATGACATCAGACATTGTATTAGCGTGTTTTGGTAATGTATTAGCAATAACACCACTGCTTTATTGTCACATATGGCTAACATAAAAAGACCGGCGAGCAACATACAGTTCAGTTAGCTTCTTGAGTCGAGAAATGGAGTTAGGAAGAATTGAGTTGAGCGAATTATATCCCAGGTTGCTGCTCCAAGGGGTTTAAGAAAAGCGCAGTTAGGGAGGGAAAGCAGGGAAGAAGGAAGGAGAGGGGGGACTCAGGCACGGACAGCACAAGGGTTACTTGGCCTTCTGGGGCGCGTCGAAGGGGGGACTGAGGCCTGGACAGTGCTAGGGTTTCGTTAGGAGAAGACATCAGTGCTGAGTTGGTATAGCACCGTGGGTATAGCACAACAGTGGGTATAGTACTACTGTGGGTATAGTACTACTGGGGGTATAGTACTACTGTGGGTATAGTACTACTGTGGGTATAGTACTACTGTGGGTATAGTACTACTGTGGGTATAGTACTACTGTGGGTATAGTACTACTGCGGGTATAGTACTACTGTGGGTATAGTACTACTGTGGGTATAGTAATACTGTGGGTATAGTACTACTGTGGGTATAGTACTACTGTGGGTATAGTACTACTGTGGGTATAGTATCACTGTGGGTATAGTACTACTGTGGGTATAGTACTACTGTGGGTAGAGTACTACTGGGTATAGTACTACTGTGGGTATCGATTTGATTTAATGGCAGTGAAGTTGTAACAAGAGCAAGTGTGTGCCAAGGCCTGCAAGAGGGATTTACATTCAACTCAGCCTTGGCAGGCCTGGGAGGAGAGCTAAGGTGCAGAGAACTGGTGGCGCAGAGAGCTGGTGGCGCAGAGAGCTGGTGGCGCAGAGAGCTGGTGGCGCTGAGAGCTGGTGGCACCTCGGATCACTGTGGGTGATGGTAGTCTAAATTTGAGGCATCTCAAAAGAAGGGATGCATGCAAGGGAGATTTACATGTGGCTTAGCTTTGGAAGGCCCGTGAGGGGAGCTAGGGAGCCAGAGAGCTGGTTGCGCCTTAAATCACTGTGGTTGAGTGGGAAGAGGGAGGAGGGGAGGGGAGAGGGAAGTGGGAAGGGAAGAGCGAAGGGGGAAGAGGGAAACGGGAAGGTGCAAGGGTTTTTTTGAGGTGCCTCAAAAATCGTCTCAGCTCACGTGGATATTATATGGGGAATATTTTCATTGCATGGAAGTGTGCACGTAACCTTCAAAAGTTACTTGTGCGAGCCAAGTTTCCAAGGCTTATCGACAGTTCGGAAGAAGACCCTCCTGAAGACTGACACCTGCAACCTCGGGTTTTTACCCACTGCTGTGTTGGTGAATGCCCATTGATAGGCAATCTGGGTAGTTGATAATCTTGAGATTTGTTTTCGAGGGTGTGGGTTGTTACTTAGCTCATGCCTAGGCCTGTGATCTCTTATGTCCAGTAGCACTGATGAAGGCTCGGCGGGTTTGATCCCCGTAAGCCGAAACATGTTTGCGACCTGTAATTTTGAGTGGAGGGTTTTTACGAGCAAATCTCTTGCCTAAGATTTTACTCTTGTTCTTGTTGCTCAAGCGACTAACTTGCTCTGCTGCTCTTCCCAAGACCATGTGTGAGGGAAGAGCGAAGGGGGAAGAGGGAAACGGGAAGGTGCAAGGGGTTCAATTAGCTTCATTGCATCTGGGTATAGCACCGTGGGTATAGTACTACTGTGGGTAGGGTATAGTACCGTGGTAATATTAACCATGGGTACAGTACCAAGGGTGGGTGGGTGTTCGTGTAGTGCTGTGACTATAGTACTGTGGATATAGTACCACAGGTATGTGCTATGTATGGTATCACAGGTTCGATTTGATGGCAGTGAAGTTGTAACGAGAACTACTGTGCCAAGGCCTGCAAGAGGGATTTACATTCAACTTAGCCTTGGCAGGCCTGGGAGGAGAGCTAAGGTGCAGAGAGCTGGTGGCGCAAAGAGCTGGTGGCGCAGAGGGCTGGTGGCGCCTCGGATCACTGTGGGTGATGGTAGTCTAAATTTGAGGCATCTCAAAAGAAGGGATGCATGCAAGGGAGATTTACATGTGGCTTAGCTTTGGAAGGCCTGTGAGGGGAGCTAGGGAGCCAGAGAGCTGGTTGCGGCTTAAATCACTGTGGTGGAGTGGGAAGAGGGAGGAGGGGAGGGGAGAGGGAAGAGGGAAGGGAAGAGCGAAGGGGGAAGAGGGAAATGGGAAGGTGCAAGGGGTTAAATTAGCTTCATTGCATCTGATAAACTGATACCATGGAAGTCCACCGACAGACAGATGGTAAGGGGAAGTTGTTAAGACCAATCTGCATGTTTTTCTTGCGAGCCCTCTACCTGTCATCACCTACTCAACCTTTCATCACTCCTTTAATGCAATGAAATAAGCTTAGGCAGCAGCAGCTTCATGCCCAAAATCGGAACGAGACTATACAGAGTTGAAGTTCACCGGGGGGGCAGCAGTGCTCTGCTCTAGACAAGTGCTGGAGCAACGAGGAAGGGAACACAAAGGGATAATACGCCATGGGAACATAAGATGTAGCCAGCCACATCACACAAAAAGAAGTAGACTGCTCCATTACACTTACATGGAAACCAGCCTTTGCAGTTTCTGGATCCTTGTGGGTATGGAGGAGTCAAATTGGTTGTCAGCGAGCGACCTGGGGGGTGGGAGGAGCACGAGTGGCACGATGTGGGGGAGAGTGATGCAACGGGAGAGGCATGATGGGGGGAGAGTGGTGCAACGGGAGAGGCACGATGGGGGGGAGAGTGGTGCAATGGGAGTGGCACGATAGGGGGAGAGTGGTGCAACGGGAGAGGCACGATGGGGGGAAGAGTGGTGCAACGGGAGAGGCATGATGGGGGGGGGATCGGAGTGATAGTAATCGTGTTGTGAGACGTCTAAGTAAGAACACGATTACCATCACAGAGGGGCAATGTGGGAGGCCCAATGGGGGGGATACAGGCATGTGAGGGCGTACACGCATGTGAGGGCGTACAGGTGTGTGAGGGCGTACAGGTGTGTGAAGGCATGCAAGTGTGTGTGTGAGAGCATACAAGTATGTGAGAGCGGTGAGAGAGGAGAGAAGCAGAGGAATCGCGCCCTCGAGGCTGTTGCTAGTCAGGAGTCTGAAGACCAAGGGGCAGAGGACAAGGGGACAGCGGCCAAAGGGGCAGTGGACAAAAGGACAGAGGACGAAAGGACAAAGGGACAACAGAACACCATCAGGGGGGGTGAGAGAGGATGTAACAGGAGAAAAGAGTAAAGCACAACAACAGAGTGCATGCTGGAAAGCTTGTGGGGCGTGGAAAGCGTTAAGGGCCAAGCCGCAGCTCGGCTCGGCGGCTCGGCTCGTGCAGTGAGCCACTCACCCACGGCTCGTGCAGTGAGCCGCTCACCCACGGCTACATGGTGCTTCATCTGTTTTCTAGGCATCGCAGGATTTTCGCATTGAAGAATGAAATAAAAAATGGTGCCAGGCACCTACAAGTGCTGCAGATTCTTGAGCCGGCTGAAGGAGGCAGGAATGGTGCCGCCACTCACTGCTGACTCCATGCTACTGTGATCAGCATGAGGGAAGGACAGGGGAAAAAGCATTAGGTGCCTGAAGAGGGAGGGAATAGTGTGTGCCGCCCCGCCACTGACTGCTGAGACGACGTTGTGGTGATAATTATGAAAGAAGGACGGTGGGGAAACACGAAGGGCCAGCATGGTGCACAAAGATTGAGGGAAGAGAGAGAACTGGGGGAAATGAGGGAAGAAGGAAGGTTGACTAAGTGAGGGAAGTGAGGGAGGGAAGAAGGCTGACTGACAGGCGAGTGAGGGACTTGAGGGAGCCGAGGATGGATGGCAGGCTGGGCATGCCGTTGTGCCCCTCCACGGCCCTGATGGGGTAACACGGGAGCGGTTCAGATATATGACGATGGATGGAATCTGCATGGTGAGCTACGGATGATGGACTATGCATGGTGGACTATGCATGGTGGACAAATGATCTTCGAATTGATCCGAATAATGACACTTGCTCGCAACCATACTCACACCGGAGAACGTCAAGCCAAACCACACAACAATCGACACAACACTCGACATAGCACTTGACACAGCAATCGACACAACAACAACCCACACAACAATTAACACAACAGGCCCCGCCTTAGCAAAATTGATCAGGCAAACACTGCCTCATCAGGCAAACACTGCCTCATCAGGCAAACACTGCCTCATCAGGCAAACACTGCCTCATCAGGCAAATCTAAAAATGGTCCTCCGACCAATCCTTGCAACCAACAACCCTCCCACAACAACCCTCCCAATGGCCCTCCCAATAATTCAAGCTGTGGCGGCTGCAGGATGCCAAGGGGAAGCGCAGTCCTCTAGGCAAGCATCAACCAACTTCAGCTCATAATAACCCTCCCAAAGACCCTCCAAACGACCCTCTCCCACCCAACCACTCTCCCCAACCACTCTCCCCAACCACCCTCCCAACGATCCTCCTCACAATGTTTCGAGTCTTGAGAGCTGGAGGATGTCAATGGGAAGGTCAGCCATTGAGGGAAGCAATCTGGGAGGGGGTGGGGGGGAAAGGGGGTGGTGGGCGGGGAGGAAGGGGGGGTGATGGAGGGGGGAGGAGAAGGGAGGGGAAGGAAAGGGGGACACGTGTTGATCTTGAGGTGGCAGACTGCGCACAGGCAGCTCATGCAGGGTGCTCCAGTTGCTGTAGTGTAGAGCAGGCAGAGCAGGTAGAGCAGGTAGAGCATGTAGTAGAGCATGTACTAAACTGAAGCTCACTCACAGCCCGGTCACAAGGCCCTGCGAGTTGCATGCAATGCTGAGAACGAAGCTCCCACACACGAGGTCCTCCTCGCCCAATTCCATGGCCGACGCACTCAGCACACTCTGTAGCGCCAATTCTGGCAGGTAAATGGGGAAAGGGGGGAGGCGGAAGAGGGAAGAAGGAGGAGGAGAAGGGGGGGGGGGGGGAGGGGGGGGATAGGAAGTCAGGAGGGGGATAGACATAGCCTGGTGTGCACGGACAAACTCCCACAGGCGACGTCCTCCTCGCCCACTGCCATGGCCGACGCACTCAGCGCATTCTGCAGCTCGGATTCTGGCAGGTAAATGGGGGGAGGGGGAAGGGGTGGGGATGGGGGTGGGGGGGGGAGGGGAGAGGGGAAGGGAAGAGGGGAAAGGGTTTCGGGTTTATGGTGACATCGCATGCACTGGGAAGTTTCCACAGACAAATTCCGTCTCTGTGCAAGCACTGACAGCCATGCTGACAGGCATGCTGGCAGGCATGCTAGCAGGCATGCTGGCAGGCATGCTGACAGGCATGCTGGCAGGCATGCTGGCAGGCATGCTGACAGGCATGCTGACAGGCATGCTCGGACCGAGAAGCTCCCACAGATGATGCGCCAAGGCTGACTGACAGCCAAGGCTGACACACCCGGCACGTTCGCAGCGCGGAGACCGGCAGAGGAGAGGGAGGGGGGGACGAAAGGGGGGGGGGGTTTAGGGAAAGGAGGAGAAATTGGGAAGTCAGAACGGGGACTGACTGACTGACATAGTCTGCTCTGTTCTGCACGAAGCAGCTTCCACAGGCAGTGTTCTTCTCGCCCACTGCCATAGCCGACGCACTCAGCACGTTTTGAAGAACGGGGTCTGGCAGGTAGCTGGGAAGGACAGGGAGGGGGGAGTGGGGGTAGGGTAGGGTTGGGGTGAGGGAGGGGGAGAAAAAAAGGGTGCAGGGGGGGAGGTGGGGGAGAGGGCGGTGAGAACTGGGGAGTCAAAAGGAAGGTTGACGTAGGATCGTCCAGGGAGGAGCCCCCACAGGCGATCTCCTCTTCCTCACTGAACGGCCGACGCACCCAGGGAAGGGAGGGAGAGGGAGGGAGGAAGGGGGGGGGGAGTTGGGGGTCGAGAATTGGGGAGTCAGACGGGGGGTTGACGTAGGGAGGAGCTCCCACAGACGATCTCCTCCTCGCCCACTGCCACGGGCGACGCACTCAGGGAAGGGAGGGAGAGGGAAGGGGGAGGATCGCCTCCCACAGGCGATCTTCTCCGCGAACGCTGCCACGGGCGAGACACGAAGCACAAGGGGGGGCGGTTGGTAAGTCGGACAAGGGGACGACGTAGTCTGCTCTGCACGGACAAGCTCCCACAGGCGACCTCCTCCTCGCCCACACCGCCACAAGCGATGCACTCACAATGCTCCGAAGCATGAGAACTGGCAATAGTGGGTGTGGGGGAAACGCGGAGATAGGGGGGAGGGGGAGGGAAGGGGAGGGGGAGAGTTAGGCAAGGAAGTGAGAGAAGGGGGGGGTTCACTGCCTGCACAGAGAACCCCGAAACTCCCACCCCACCGAGACATCAGAAGCCAGAGGGGGCTGGACCTAGTGCGAGTGGTAGGCTACCTATTAGGGTTACGTTAAAGAGTCGGGTTACTCAACGATTAGGGTTACGCCATCGGTTAGGGTTACAGTCACTCGCATTCTGGAAGCCATACACGGCCGCATTTGCCGCGGCAGCTCCCCGAATCGCACAGAGCAGAGGGATGCACATACAGAACTAGGGGTAATCTAACCCTCATAGGGTTTCCCTATGACTGGGTTACGTTAACGATTAGGGGTACAGTCACACGCGCTCTGGGAGGATGTCAGGACCGCATCTGCCGCTGCGGCAGGCGCTCCTCTGGCAATACACAAGAGGGGAATGACAAGCCGAAGGGTTGCTCTAATGTGCTAGGGTTACCAACGTTTAGGGTTACTACATTGCACGCACTCTGGGAGGATTTTAAGACCGCGTTTGCCGCTGAAGCTAACGGCACAGTGAAGAGGAACCACAAGCCGAATTAGGGTTACTCCAACCATTATAGGGTTACGTTAACGGTTAGGCGTCACACGCACTCTGGGAGGATTTTAAGACCGCATCTGCCGCTGCAGCTCTTCGAATCGCAACGGCACAGACGAGGGGAATCACAAGCCGAATAAGTAGGGTTGTCAGCAGCGCAGCAGGCGGCGCAGATCGCGGCTTCATCTCGCCTCAGGAGTTACCCGTTAGCTGCTACTGCTACTAGCTGTTAGGTACTACTACGTGTCAGCCCACACTGTCATTAGCCGTCAGTTGTCAGCAGTACTAGCTAGTAGTCAGCTGATAGCAAATTAGGATCATATTAGGTTAGCGAACCAGCGGAGGGAGCTGCGGGACTCAAGGGCTCAGAGGCTCGGAAGCGACTTGCGAGGCTGATTTCAGACACGCCTACAGCATTTCATTTCGCCGACAGCAACATGCAGCACGCGACTCGAAATGGCGGTGCCTTTCAGCAATTAGTTGTCGGTTGCAACTGTGCCACACGGTAGTGCCACTTGGCCAGTTGCCTCGGTTGTTTCGGTCGACGCGGCTGCATTGTCCAACCATCCTTCCTCGCGCGGAACTCGAGGGGTGGCGGAAAATATCATAGTGGACGCACTATTTGTGCGAAAACTGAGTCGATTAGTGGACGGTGGTGAGGCCAAAGAAGCTTGCACTAGGGCGGAGATTATCAAGGAACCCGCGATGCACAATTCTGTACAGCGGCAGTGTACAGTATTTTACGGGCAGATACTGTAACACATCAAGCGAAACTCAACCTTGATGTACAATGTCGACTCGTTGTGCTGCCAGTTCTCTAACCTTCCCCCAAACTTCTCTCCGAACCAGGCTTCCCCTCCCGTCCCAGCGTGAGATGACTCTTGGAAAAATGGACACGTCCCGCAACTGGCACCAGGCGGAGAGAACAACATCACTTCCAATCCCTCACCACCGCACGCACATTCAGCCAAGCTGCGTGTAGGGGGCTTTACCTTCCGTCCGGGCCGGACTGCCAACATCGAGTTGCGCTGCTACACTTAGCCCGCGGTAATTTTCCATCTTGAAACTGGGCGGCATAAGAATTTTTGTTTCCACCCTGACCATTTCTGAGTGTGTAGACAGTACCCCCTTGTCCCTACGGCCTAAGCTTGGCAGACTCCACGTGGGCAAAATCTTTGAGCACTGCCTAAGCTGACATCGGGTTTCTTGACTTGAGAAACACTAAATCGAGTAATAAACGTTTTATATAGAAACCCAAGTTTCCATAGTTTTTCAAGGGTATCCAGATCTGGTCTTCAAATAGATGCTTTCGGAAGGTGAATTCCCTCTAGGCGGCACTCCCTATGAAAATATTGGGTAAGAAAATACTGCGGGCTATGTGTAGTGTGGCTCTGTCCTCCATTGCTCTGCTGCTGATGACTTGTTCTTCCCATTGGAGTATGACAAATTGTAATCACGCCCTACAAGAAGCAGATCGGGTTATCTCATGTACATGCCAACCAAAGACGCTGCAACTTATCTTTTATCAGGTAAGTGCCCTAGCGAGGATCCACTCAGGCCAACTCCCCCTCCATTCAACACTCGTGTGTGCATGCGGTTTGCAAACCCACAGGGCCACAGGGCGATTCGAAGAGCTCCGACGTCGAAAAACAAAACATTGTAATCGGTGACAATCGGTCTGAATACGTCGAATTGGGTTTCTCTGCGTCTGGACGAGATGCGAGGCGGTGAAACGACGTAGTTAAAATTCCATGACCATAAGGCCAACTGGAAATGCACTTGCGCCTGCGACTGCGACTGTGACTGGGGAATGCGATGGTAGGTGAACGACTTCAGCTGTTAGTCAGCTGTCACCCAGTTTGTCCGTGACATCTGAAATAAACCTGTTGACTCTCTGGTTTTTTTTAGGTGTGCGTGTGGGGCAGGGCTGATTTTTCAAGAGTAATTACCCAGAATGAAAAAACATTTAGAGTTGGCGCTGGGCTTGTTTCGGAATTTGAATGGGTAGAGTTATGGGGGTTTCCATAATTCATAGAAGTGTTGCGGAGGGCTCTGGGCACATCAGAATTCGCCGGGGGGGCAATCCGGATACACCTGCCAGGAAGTACCCCCCCCCACCTTCCTCCTCCTCGCACCTGGGGTGGCAGAGACATTTTTCCGGCTAAGTCCCCAACATCTAGAAACAATCCCCACGAACGAATCCCCCGAACCCAGGAAATTCGACTAAGTCCCTTACAGACAGTTATAACTCCTCCCACACTCGCACAACTAAGAAAATTCTGCTAAATCTCCAACTCCCAGCAGCATTCCTTCCTTCACCCCGCAACCAAGAAAAAATGGCTAAGTCCCCTCAAATACAGACATGCCGTGCTCTTCCCACTCGCACCACCCAAAATCCAGAATTTTCAGCTAAGTCCGTCACAGCCACCCTAGAGGAATTTGGCGAAGTCCCTCCCAAACAGAGATACTCCTCTCACCCTCACCCACGAAACATAGAATATTCGGCTAGCCCTCACAGCAGGAATATTCCTGCCTAACCCTGTAACCTAGAGAATTTGACTGAAGTCTCCCGTGCAAAGAGATACTCCTCTTACCCAGACCACCCAAAACCTAGAATATTTGGCGTCCTTCAAAGCCTGGAAAATTCCTCCTACAACCCCCCACGCCCACGCAGCTAGGAAGATTTGGCTAAAAACGTTCAGCCACGCTCCCCCCCTCCCCCTTCCCGCAGCCCAGAAGAAAGCTGCGAAGGTAGCTGCCACAGATTCTACCCTACTCTAGCGGGTTTGTCAGGAAACTAGCGAAAGAAACTCTTTTTCTTGGCACGCCGCAAATGTAACCCTGTATGGAACCTTGAACATCGTGACATGTCCGAATCAATGTTTGGTGTAACTCGGCTAAAAATATTTTTGTACCCGAATCCGGATGAAACAGAAATCAACTACCCTGAAATCCGGGCGAATCAGGGTGCCGGGGGGTGGGGAATCCGGGAGAAACAGAGTTCCAAAAAACCTTAACGTGAGCCCTGGTGTGCGGTGCTCACTAAAGCGTGCGCGGTGTGTTTCTGCTCTGCGCGTGCGAGCAAAACTGGGCTCATATTGTACTGGCCTCACACTGGCCTTACTTCACGAATCTTTTACAACGTGTCAATTTGCCCTCCACCCCCCTACTCTCCCCTCCCTCCCATCCACTCTTTGGCCTTCACCAGCTAAACCTGTTGATACAAACGAAGCTCGTCAGAGCCGCACAAGATTTGAGGATGCCGGGAATCCAATCGCACAAGTATTTTGCATGCCCTCGCCACGGGCAAATGAGGCTTTCGCACGAGCACACGGCGAATTGGGTGGGTACTTGCGGAGGGGGCATGGGTGGCGTTGTTTGTTGACAGTGTGCGACTCTTGTGAGGCGATCATGTGACTGCGGTGCACAGTTCCATGGCGACGCAGCCACGTCGGCAATGACTTGTCCCATGGTTTATGTTGGTCGTAGACTTAATCATAAGTGACTCAAACGGATCTCCCGTTGTCCGTATATCAGCGGTTTCGGGAAACGATTCTGATTGGGCGCTGAGTTGAGCTGCTATAAGGCTGGGCATCGTCTGTATTTCTAATTCCTGTGTTGGTGGCCACGTGAATAAGGTGCTTTGCGTTTTAGAGCGATCGGAAAGCTTTCTAATACGGTTGACTAGGGTATCTGATTGATGATAACGCACGTTAGGTACAGTACTCGGAATGGGTTCACCATGAAAGTTGTACAGCGGGGCGGCAGCTCATCCCTGAGGCATTCTGGCTGGCGAACGTCATCCCATCTTCGCGTAACTTGAATTGAAACCCTCATTTTCACGATGCTCCCACATCGCGGTGTTGGCAGGCAACGAACCACCCCTGACTCATCTTGTCCCCCCCTCCCTCCCTGCGTTGTCTATGCACACTGACATTCCTCATACACCAGTGCAGTTTCCCGTCGCTCTACCTGACAACTAACGCAACCCTGACTGATTCCCTTCGCTTTGTCAGACAGCAGAGGTAGCTTCCGCTTTAGAGACGCCTGACTGCATGACCTCCCGCTTTTGGGCGTGACGCCCCAGGCCGTTCAGTCATTGCTATCTCTGTACCAAGAAAAGGGTAGGGCTCGTTTCAGCTACGTTCTTCAGAAAATATAACTTTCCGTCGACAGCCGGAAAGAGAGAACACGTTCTGAGACGACAGCCGGAAACCACTTACGCCATTTCCGATCGTACTCCCAGCGACGTCGATTCGATCACCTACCTCCTTCCCGCATAGTAACTCTGAGCGCTGAATCGTCGCCGTCCACTTTCGGCCTGACGGGTAGGATTGACCGCGGATTCTCGTATCCATTACGAAAGAAGACGCGTTCGTCCAGCTGGTACTCACTGACCGCCATTATCGTCAGAGATAGATTATTAGGCGCCTCAAAAGTCGTCCCGCTGGTACTCACTGACTACCATGATCGTCAGAGCTAGTACCATCCGCGGCGGCCGAACACCATAGGTTCTCGCGTGGTGGTCCCGTAAGCTCGCAGCGGCGGCTGACTTTGAATGCCATGTGTCAGTCCGGGATTCGCTCCGGCGCGTCAGGAGTTTCAATTAGGGTGCAACCTATCAGAGAAAATAATCTACTATCGAGGAGGGACCCCCTCCTAAAACCTCGTCGAAGGCGATGAATCTCTGCCGCGTCTCGCGTCGCAGACTGGGGGTTCACGTAGGGACCAGGTGTCTCGTTTGGGTTACGCTTCTCCTCTCTTTCGCAGCCGCCGCTCGCATCGCCTATGGTCTCGTCGACTGTTACAATCTAACGAATCCAAGTAAGCTCCGCGTTTTCCGCTCTCAAACATCACCTGCAAACGTTTAGGGTTTCGTCGACATCCGTACTCCAGTCGTAACGTACGCCCGTATTGTCGGGTCTACTTGTCGTTACCGTTCTTCCCGCCCCTAAGCGTTCTTGGATTCCTGAGTCTTTGTTTTACGCTAATTTAAGATGCATCGAAGTTCGCCATTTCGTCTCCATAATCTCATCCCTTTGGAAAGCCCTTTTTTTCTTTCTTTCAATTCCGGTGTATTCCGTTCCTCCTCTACTTTCTTTTTCTAACCCTAGATGCCTCCAACCTCCAGATGCATCGAGGCCGTCGGTGTAGAATCTGACGGAAGCTGCATTGTCTATCCACTCAACTACCCCCTCATTTTCTGTTTCTTTTTCCGTTTTACCCCCTTGTCTCTGGCCACCGCAGGTGTCTCGTCTAACCTCCTCTCGAACCCAAGCTTCGATACAAGCTGTCTCGATATAGGATGGCGACGCAAGAAGCTGAACGCGTCGTGCGACCCGTGGCCGTACCTTTTCCCCTGGCGCGCCTTAGGACCTGGCGAAACCGTCATAGGCGACTGCGAATTAGTCACCGCAACTGGCTCCGGAAATAGCGGAAAGCGCTCCGCGCAAGCGGTGGCGAGAGCAGCTGGAACGGCGGGGTGGACGGCAAGAGGAGTGGCGTCGCTTGCTGACGTGACAATAGCCGATGGGGTCGTAGGATTTACGGACACCCTGCTGGCAGCTGACGGCTCCCGGTTTTTGCGGCTGGATTCCGCTTTTTCCGCGGCCTCTAGTGCCGCCGGTGCTGGTAGCAGTAGCGAGTCCGACGGGCCAGGCGTGTCGCAAGCGCTGTGCGCTCTTAAACCCGCGCCGACGGCCAACGCCTCGCAGCAGGCGCAGCAGTCCCCGCGCCTGCTGTCCCTCTCGTTCTTTGCGCGCGCCAGCCAGTGCGCGGAGGGGGAGGGGGAAGGGGAGGGGGAGGAGAGGCGGCTGTTGAGGGTGCTGCTAGTGGCAGTTCCCCTCAATGCTTCAGCAGCAGCAGCAGGGGGAGGAGGGGCAGGAGCGCAAGCAGCGGAGCAGGTGTTGGGGGAGTGGCGGGTGGGCGTGCCGTGTGGGGGCAGAAGCGCGAGTGTGTCCGGCGCCTTGCCGTGGTTCCAAGTAGGTCCCCTCCGCTTCGCCCTCCCGGACCCTCCCTCTTCCTCCTCCTCTCCCTCCTCGTTGGTAGTGCCTGCAGGGGGGTTTGCGCTACATTTGGTGATTCGAGGCGTGCAAACCAGCAGCAGCAGCAGCACTGCCACTATCAGAAGTATTTCCAGCAGCAGTGCCACAGTCACCGCCACAAGCACCGCCAGTGCCAGCAGCAGCAGTGACAGCAGCAATGGCGACAGCAGCAGAACCACCAGCGCCAGCACCACCAGCTCCAGTGCCGTTGACAGCAGGCCCAGTAGAGGCATTACTACCACCGCTTCGTCGTTGGGACTTCTGATCCGATCTGCTCCACAGCCTCTTGCTCACGCTGCGTCGGCTCTAGGAAGGCTCAGGTTCCCTACACTGAACCTCCCTGGCCTACGGGCCTTTGGACGAAGGCACTTCCGAAGCTACGGGCTAGAAAGAGCGACAGCGGCAACAGCAGTGACAGCGGCAACAGCAGCGGCACGCGCAGTGCAAGCAGCTGCTGGGATAGCAGCAGCTAATGCAGTGCCCGTATCCCAGACTGCTACAGTCGCAGCGGAGGGCCAGAGTGCTACAGTAGCAGCGGAGGGCCAGAGTGCTACAGTAGCAGCGGAGGGCCAGAGTGCTACAGTAGCAGCGGAGGGCCAGAGTGCTACAGTAGCAGCGGAGGGCCAGAGTGCTACAGTAGCAGCGGAGGGCCAGAGTGCTACAGTAGCAGCGGAGGGCCAGAGTGCTACAGTAGCAGCGGAGGGCCAGAGTGCTACAGTAGCAGCGGAGGGCCAGAGTGCTACAGCAGCAGCGGAGGGCCAGAGTGCTACAGCAGCAGCGGAGGGCCAGAGTGCTACAGCAGCAGCGGAGGGCCAGAGTGCTACAGCAGCAGCGGAGGGCCAGAGTGCTACAGCAGCAGCGGAGGGCCAGAGTGCTACAGTAGCAGCGGAGGGCCAGAGTGCTACAGCAGCAGCGGAGGGCCAGAGTGCTACAGCAGCAGCGGAGGGCCAGAGTGCTACAGCAGCAGCGGGAGAGGAGGGTGTGAGAGCAAGGACGGCAGCAGCATTCACACTTGCAGCAAGTACGGGCGGGGCAGGAGGGGCCAAGAAGGTGGTTCCGAGGAGAGTGGGAGTGGCGTCAGAAGCAGGGAGCACCGCCATTGACCTCGCCTCAGTCGTGCCCACGCAGAGTGAGTCAGCAGGGTGGATAGGTGAAGAAACGGAATTATAGCCTTATAGGTGTGTCCAAGGGTAGCGCAGGTAGGTGAATGGGATGAGAGTGGAAGGGAGTGGCAGCGGAATCAGGGACCCACCTCTGACCTTGCCTCAGTATTACCCATCATTACAAAACTTCTAAATCAGACATTAGAAGTTGCTGGTAGTGTATAGGAGGCGCAAGACCATAAGCAGTTGGTATCATTATTGATAGTCTTATCGATTCGACCCTTCCAGTTTCTGCAACCGCTTTCTTTGGCTTCTGTGAGCTGAAATCCCTGATTTTCTTCCGTGCCTTCTCCTCCTTCCCCTCTTCCCCTCCTCCCCGCCACTCTATCGCCTTGCAGCCGACCCCTCCACTGTGAAGTCCTTCTGCTTTTGGCCCATCAAGACCACCCACCCGCTGCTCACAGCGGGGTCGGCCCGTCGCAGCCCCTCCTCCCTGGCCCTCACCGCCCTCTCCGACGTCAACTCCGCCGCCCTCGCCCTGCACCCCGCGCCCTTCGCCCTGCTCGCCCCGGCCACGCCCGCCTCGCCCTGCCGCCCCTTCTCCTTCGCCACCTCCTTCGCCTTCCGCATCTCCTCCCCCAACGCTGCTGGGCTCGGTGCACACGGCATGGCGTTTGTCATGCTGCCCGAACCCACTCTCGGCTTGCCAGGGCCCTCCCTGGGCTATGGCCGCGTGCTGGTGCCAGCGGGGAGAGTCTCTTCCACCTCTGACGCCAACGTCAGCAGTGTGGCATCGTCTCAGGTACGCATCAACCACGGTACGCCAACCACCTCTCTCTGCCTTGCCTTGCCTTGCCTTGCCTTGCCTTGCCCTGCCGCGCCCCTCCTTGGGCTGGGTAGCACGCCTGCATGCGTGCTGCTGCCCCAGGGTAGCACGTGTGCCACCTCTGACTCCAACGCCAGCAGAGTGGCATCGCCGCCAGCAGGGTAGTGTGCTGAACCACTTCTATCGCCTCAGGTACACTGAACGACTTTTACCGCCTCCTTTTCCTTGCTCTTTTCGCCATCCGCGCCCCACAAACCCCTCAATCTCTTTACTGCGCCTATCACCCCTTGTGCAAACCCCCCGCCTTCCCCCCATCTGCTCCGCCTCCCCCGCATTCGCCACTCATCTTACTCGTTGACCTTGTGCTGCTGTTCCGTCTGTTCCGTCTTCCCCGTGCGCTGTCCCTTCGCCCTACTCTCTTTCTCATGCTCCTCTGTTGCTCTCCGCCTTCCCCCCCTCCCGCCCCCCCCCCCCCCCCCCCCCCCCCTCCTCCTCCCCACAACCCCCAGCAGCACAGCTTGGCAGTGGAGTTCGACACGTCAGGATCGCCGGAGTTCTTCGACCGGCCCGACCACCACGTGGGGGTGAATGTGGACTTCAGCCTGGTGTCGCTGGCCTCCGCCTCCGTTCACCCCGTGGGCCTCCCCGCCCTCAACTCCGGCCAGACCCTCCTCGCCTCCATCCTCTACAACGCCTCCTCCTCCCAACTCTCCGTCTGGCTCTCCCCGGCTTCTTCCTCCTCCCCCCCCTCCCCTGCCCTCCCGCGCTCCGCGGTGCTCTCCACGTTTCTGGACACCTGCGAGTGGCTGGGGGGCAACGACCCCAATGCGGAGGCGCCCCCCCCGCCGCTGTTTGTGGGGTTCACTGCAGGCACGGGCCAGGGGGCGGAGCAGGCCCAGGCGCATGAGGTGCTGGGGTGGAGGTTCCAAGTGGGGGAGGGTGAGTGATGGGGGAGGGTCGGTGAGATGGGGGGGGGGAGAGAAGGGGACGGTTGCGATTTAAAAAGTTTCACGGTGCTGGGGTTCCAAGTGGGGGAGGGTGCGTGAGATGAGGGAGGGGGAGGGGAGGGGAGGCAGAAAGGGGGGAGGGAGAAAGGGGGGAGGGAGAAAGGGGGGAGGGAGAAAAGGGGGAGGGAGAAGGGGGGGAGGGAGAAAGGAAGTAGGGGTGGAGAGGAATGTCAGGGAATGGGAAGGCTAAGCCCAGGGAGTGTGTTGGTACACGGGGCAAGAGGGCAGAGCAGGCTCATGCGCATGAGGTGCTGGGGTGGAGGTTCCAAGTGGGGGAGGGTGAGTGGGGTGGGATACACCTCCCTGGATGGCCGGAGGATGGGGGGGTGGTGATCCGAGTGCAGATGTAGCGCCTCCCAGCACCCCGCCGCTATTTGTTTGTGGGGTTGTAAGTTGTAATGAGGTGAGTGACTTTTGGGCCAATGTAGCGCCCCCCGACCCGACCCTCGCCGCTGTTTGTGGGGTTCACTACAGGTCGTCCCCTCTCACTCAACCATTCACTCCCCCCCCCCCCCCCCCTCTCCCTCCCTCCATCCCAGCTGTGGATCCGCTTCCCTTCTGGGCGGCAGACTCCTTCTCTATCCCCTACATCACGCCAGCCACTCCCCTGCTGACACGTGGCAGCACACGGAAACGGTTCTTCGCTGCCGATCTGTCTGTCGCTGCTGATGTGGCATCCGCCAGCCAGTCGAATGAGCCCGCCCCTGGTGCCATCTTCTTCCCTCGCCGTCTCCCCCTCCTCTACTCCTCCGCCTCGTCTCCCTTCCCTCCTCCCCCTCCTCCTCCTCCCACCCGCCGCCGCACCTCCCTTCCGTCTCCTTCCTCCCCTCCTCCCCAAGCCACGCCTACTGCTCCTCCTGTTTGCATGGCTCGTTCCTTCACTTTCACATACGGATTCGCTATGAATGTTTCCGCCACTCAAGGACTGGCGTTCGTTATAAGCACACACGCAAGCCTGGGCCAAGGCGGGGCTTATATGGGGTACGGACGAGACCCGTCCTCACGACTTGCTAATGGCAGCTGGCCGGACGGGGCTCGGAGCGTCGCTGTGGAGTGGGACACTGTAGCTAATCCAGAAACGGGCGATATGAATGGTATACACATGGGGATTAACACTGATTTTAACATGACATCGATTTTCGCTAAAAAGGTTTTGTATGTGATGGATCCGGATGAGGCGTGGCAAATGAGGGTTGACTATAACGGGAGCACCAAGGAGTTGGCGATTAGATGGTACTTTCCTCCCGTGTTGCGAGGCAGCATGAAGCTGACCATTGACCTCTGTGCTGCGCTCACTGGTGCTGCTGCTGATGGTGGTGGAAGCAGCAGTAGTGGCAGTGGTGATAGCAGCAGTGGTAGCAGCAGCAGCAGCGCCCCTGATCTGTCGTCTCCCTCCTTCGGCCATCTCTTCGTTGGCTTCACCAGTGCTGCTCTCCCCGCCGCTGCTGGGAGGCTGCTTGGACTCGTCTCCCTCACCTCCTGGACCTTCCGATTCACAGGTGAGGAGGGAGGGGGGTGGGGGTGGTGAGGAGGAGGGGGGAAAGGGGGAAGAGGGGACGAGAGGTAGATGGGGGGAGGGAAGGGGGAGGGAAAAAGAAAAGGTTGAGGGGAGGGAGGGAGTGAGGATCTCGCAGTCATTTTCTCAAGGGTTATCACATCCCCTCTTCCCCTCACATATGTCCTGTCCTCTCATCTTCTCTCATTCCCTCTCATCCCCTCACGTGCCCACCACTCGAAGCTTTGTGGAGCTATTGAAGATCCTTGGTATTGCCTGTTTTTGAGGCGCCTCAAAAACCTTGGTATTGCCGTGCCTGTTGGATGCGCAACTGCACAGCGTATGCACATGCGCGCGCAAGGTTGCCTGCCTGTTGAGATTGCGGCACATCCCCAACAGCTTATCGTCCGCTGCTTGCTTATCAACCCCATCTGCACACACTGACCACATGCCCTCGCACATCCCTTCACGTTTTTTTTTTTCTCATTCCCATCTCCAGACACTGACCCCTGCAAGGCCTCTCCCGTATGCCCTCCCCATGGGACCCTGGCATGGGCACCTGCTCTAAGGTGCCTGCCCCATGGGAGAGACCCCTCTCTCCTCGTGCCCTCATGTAGACATGGTCAAAATGCGATGCGATGCGATATCGCATCGCATTCTGTCTTATCGCGCAGTATATCGCATCGCATTCTGTCTTATGCCCTCACACATACAGTCACGTCTTTTTTCACGCTCCCAACACCCCATCCGCAGACACTGACCCCTGCAAGGGCTCCCCCGTGCTCCCCTGTGGCATGGGCGTCTGTTCCAAGGTTCCCAGTCAGTGGGACCCCTCTCTCCTCGTGCCCTCCTGCAAGTGCCCCTTGAAGCTGCCCACCTTCGAGCCCTCTCACCTCACCAGACTGCCCTCCTGCTTCCCTGGTGAGTCAAGAGAGTTCTCAGAGGCTCCCTCCCTTGCAACCCCCTCTTCTCAATCACCGGCCCTCCCTCCTGCTTCCCTGGTGAGACATGAGAGTTCTCGGAGACTCCCTCCCTTGCATGCAACCCAATCACCTCTCCGGACTGCCCTCATGCTTCGCTGGCGAGTCATGGAGTGTCTGTACTGTACACCAGACACCAGACGCCAGATGCCAGACGCCAGACGCCTACACCGTTTGGCACTTCCCCGCAGCCCCTGTGCCCCAGATGCCATGGATGGCACCTACTCCTGCTCTATTCCCACTCTTCCCTACCCCCCTTTCCCTTCCCCTTTCCCCTTCCCCTTTCCCCTTCCCCTTTCCCCTTCCCCTTTCCCCTTCCCCTTTCCCCTTCCCCTTTCCCCTTCCCCTTTCCCCTTCCCCTTTCCCCTTCCCCTTTCCCCTTTCCCCTTTCCCCTTCCCCTTTCCCCTTCCCCTTTCCCCTTCCCCTTTCCCCTTCCCCTTTCCCCTTCCCCTTTCCCCTTTCCCCTTCCCCTTTCCCCTTCCCCTTTCCCCTTCCCCTTTCCCCTTCCCCTTTCCCCTTCCCTTTCCCCTTCCCCTTTCCCCTTCCCCTTCCCCTTCCCCTTCCCCTTTCCCCTTCCCCTTTCCCCTCACCAGAGGCCTACACGTGTCGCCAGCTCCCCCGCAACCCGTGTGCCCCTGGGGTGTGCATCGACGATGGGGATGGCTCCTACTCCTGCCTCTGCCCCTCGCCCTACTTCCCCTTCTCCTTCACCTCCAAGGGCCCTGACCGCTGCTCTCTTTGTAAGCGGAGCTCTTAGCTAAGAGACTTTCTTGCTTCACATTGCAGCACTAGCCATCGCATCTGCCCCATCACATTGCCTCATTGCATCTGCCCCATCACATTGCCTCATCGCATCTGCCCCATCACATTGCCTCATCGAATCTGCCCCATAACATTGCCTCATTGCATCTGCCCCATAACATTGCCCCATCACATCTGCCCCATCACATTGCCTCATTGCATCTGCCCCATCACATTGCCTCATCGCATCTGCCCCATCACATTGCCTCATCGAATCTGCCCCATAACATTGCCTCATTGCATCTGCCCCATAACATTGCCCCATCACATCTGCCCCATCACATTGCCTCATTGCATCTGCCCCATAACATTGCCTCATTGCATCTGCCCCATAACATTGCCTCATTGCATCTGCCCCATCACATTGCCTCATCGCATCTGCCCCATCGCATCCGCCCCTCGCCCTACCTCCCCTTCTCCTTCACCTCCAACCAAGGCCCCTGCCTGCTGCCCTCTGTGTAATGGATGAGACATGTTACCGTCATGCCTTACACATAATAGTTTTAAGTTTGAGTATTTTTTCACTCGTTCGGCTTCTGCCATCATCATCTGCTAACATTTTATGTATCCCCTCCCCCTGCGGTTTGCAACTGTTTTCTCACCCCTTCTGTACAGTGCGAGGGAATGCTGTTCGAATGCCTACCTTTCTATCGCCCCACGGCCTCACATGCCCTCTCATTCTCAACACCTATGGACTGACTCAAAATGACTTCCTCGGCCAAAACAGGGTGAGAGAGGTTGCAGCAGGCACACCACACCATTTGCGTGCCAACATTCGTTTCTCCCTACGGTCTAGTTTTGAGGCGCCTCAAGGGGAAAGGGGAAGGGGCACTCGCATCACCCCCCTTTCCCCTTCCCCTTCCCCTTCCCCTTCCCCTTTCCCCTTTCATCACAGCACATCACGTCGGCTCCTCTCCCCTCCCCTCCCCTCCCCTCCCCTTCCTTTTTCTTGTAGTTGTTCCCTGTAACCCTCTCTTCTGTCTTACCAGCCTAGGTTGTCCGTGCTTTATTGCCATGTTATTAGTTCCATGCTATTTTTGCCATGCTCTTATTCCCATAATCTTACTACCATCTCTTTTCCACGTTCTTATTGCATGGTCCTCTCGCAGGGCTTCCAATGCCGCGCTCCCATTCCCGTTGGCACACCGATTAACGTGACCAGTCGAGCCTTTTCTAACTGTACATCAATGTACACCGCTAATTATGTAAGTGGCGTTGGTAGATCTAATCTAACAGCACTTTTTAGTGTCATACTCTGCCAATAATGTAAGTGGGTTACGCTTTGTGAACCGTGCATCCTATTAGAATAAGCTCTTCTTGAACAAGCGGCCAGCCTGTAACGGGGTTGATGACCATAACCACAAGGAATGGCTCCGTCACACTGCTTGATTACCACTTTTTTTCCTCTCAGCATCACAACCTCTGGAAACAATGTTGCTTAACACAGTTTTTTTGTTCAGTTTTCTTGTACTTTCGTTTCCCTTCATAAGGACGTTGAAATCTGCCATTGACGAACCAAAAGCATGCACCCCCTCCTTCCATGTCCCTCCTCCCCTCCTCCCTCCCACATCTTCCCTCGCCTCTCCCCCCCTTTTCCCCCCTCCCCCCTCCCCGCCCCCTTTTTTCCCCCTTGCCTAAGCAGGGTGAGTGACACGTGTGACACGATCAACTCCCTCTTTTCCACTCCTAAGACCCTCAATTTCCCCCCCCCACTCCCCCTCCTCCTCCCCCTCCCCCCCAATGCCTGTGTGTGCAGGGTGACACGTGTGACTCGATCAACGCCCTCTTCTCCACTCAAATAGAGCCGCTCAACCCCGCCCTCAGCTGTTCTGATGGGCCCAGGCACGGGCAGGTGAGAATGGAAAGGCTGCTTAAGGGGAGGTCGCCTTGCGCACACATGCACCTGCCGCGCCCTCTGCTGCTCTGATGGGCCTCGGCTCTGCCAGGTGAGAAGAGCTGCTAATGGAGGGGGTCATTGTGTCTTGACTCACGCATGTGACTTGTGTTACAGCCGCTCAACCCTGCCCGCCCTCAGCTGCTCCGATGGGCGCAGGCATGGCCCGGTTGGCAGGTTCTGCATTTCTTTGAGAGCAGTTTTCTTGGAGAGCACTTTCCTTGGAGAGCAGTGTTCTTTGAGCGCAGTTTTTGTTCAGCTCGTTTTCCTTGTCCATGGCCGCGCATATTTCCGTTACAGCTCTTTTGCCGCAGCAGTTCTTAGTCCGGCTGGCTGTTCTTGCGGCTGCCATGTGCTCCCGTGACAGCCACTCTCAAAGTTGCCCAACTGATTTCCAGTCACTCTGCTCTCTCTCCCTTCCCTCTCTCTTCTCTCTCTTCTTCCGTTTCCCTCCCTCCTTACACCTCCCTCCCTCCCCCCCTTCAGCTTCTCTGTATTGACTTTGACCAAGCATGGCTTGACACTGGAAAGGTCAACGTAAACTGCGACCACTACGCGTACATCACCCCAACCCTAACCCCTCCCGGCGCGCAACAACCATTTCCATACAGCAGCGGGGGCGCGCTCATAAGCGTGCTGCCCAGCCCTCAGAGCTGCCAGGCGCTCTGGCAGACCTTCAGCATTGCCTCTCCCACGCGCTTCTTCCAGCTCAACCCGGGCTTCTCCTGTGACTCGCTGCTGCCGTACAGCCCGCTGCAAGGCAATTTCAATGCAAAGGTGAGGGGAGGGGGGGGGGGGGGTTATGTCAGGGGGCAGACCAGTCAGGGCTATTTAGCCTCACATCGCCCACATGCTTCTTCCAGCTGAACCCGGGCTTCCCCTGTGATGACTTGCTGCCGTACAGCCCACTGCAAGGCAATCTCAAGGCAAGACTGTCTTCCCGGTGTGTTCCCATTGGTTGTTACAACTCTCAGATTTGTGTGGCTGGGAATGACTCTCGGCCACTCCCCGGGCTCACGTGCACGACCAGGAGCATGCAGCGTGCGGTGCGGAGCAGAGACAACCTCTTGGCATAAACCAGTATCTCCTCTCTGCTGTTTTTTCGCTGGTTGCGGTGACGACTCGCAGGTGTGCATGGCTGGGACTGACACTCGGCCGCTCTCGGGGCTCACATGCACCACCAGGAGAACATACAGCGTGCGGCGTGGAGACACGTGCGGGGTTGTGATCGCCAAGAGATACCGCCGCAGCACTGACCTGTTTAGGAACCTCAACAACGGCTATGACTGCTCGGTGAACAGCTTGTGGGCTGGCATGCTGCTCTGTTTGCCTTGAATGAATTACCCTAATCGTTGTGTACAGTAACACCAAAGCAATTTTACCCACTAACCAGGACCTGATTCCGAACCAACACCGGTACCACCATCCCGTCCTTCGTCAAATGGTGTGTTGATTTCAGGGTGTGTTCCATACCGTACCCAGCTGATGTGATGCGACTGCAAAACGGCGTCTATGACATACAGCACCGTACAGAGCTCATGCGCACTTCAGAAGGGTGCACTGAGATCGAGCGCAGTGGTGACCAGTCGTCACCCTTCTCAGAACCAGGGCTTTTTCTGAGCATTTACCCTGATTTGAATGAAATTATAGGGTATGTTTTGTGACGACCCTGAAAATATTTTCGCCCCAGCTTTAAGGAATTTAGGGGGAAATTTGTCGGGACCCTGAACCTAGGGCCTTTAAGGAATTTAGGGGGAAATTTAGGGCCTTTAAGGAATTTAGGGGGAAATTTAGGGCCTTTTTGCCGAACCCTGATGCATCCGAGCCAGGCCCTCAGATTCGTTTTCAGGCACCCTGATCCGTCAGCCCCCCCCCTCCCCCACCCCCCCCCCCCCCTCAAAAAGGCTGAGTTTTCAGGGTTCCCGAAAGAATGTCCGCTGATCAATCAGAGTTGGTTTCAAAAATAAGGCTGATATTAAATTGCTTGTAGCATGTTCTTGGTCCGTCGTGCAAATTGCGTGTAGCGAAATTGCGTGTGGGGAGCGTTAGACGTACAAGAAACCAATTTTGTGTGTGTGCGTGTGTGTGTGTGTGTGTGTGTGTGTGTGTGTGTGTGTGTGTGTGTGTGCGTGCGTGCGTGTGCGCGTGCGTGCGTGCGTGCGTGTGTGTGTGTGTGTGTGTGGGTGTGTGTGTGAGTGGGTGTGCGTGTTGGGGGGAGAGGGGGGGGTGGTGGGGGGAAGAGGAATTGCAGGGGCGGAGGGGAATCCCGCCCTCACAAAGCTCCAAGGCACACAAATCGGGGCCCAAATTAGGTGAAGGGCCAACAATTGCCCTCACACAGCCCCAAGCACACGTCGAGCCAGCACCCTCACACAGCCCCAAGGGGAAGGGAGCACACAGATTCTTGGTAATGTCGGCAGCACGCGCCCCTAGCCACAGTATCGATATTGCTAGATTCAGGGTATACCCCTGGAGCAACGCTGGGGCATCAGAGTACACTACATAGAAACCCCTGATATTTCAGGGTTGGGATTTAAAAAATCCTAGAAGAGAGAGGAGGAACAAGAATGGATGTCCCATCTACAGTAGGATCAAGTATTTTGTAGAACACCTACCAAGCCTACACAACTATATATATATAATATGTATATTTATATGTTGACACACCCCCTAGCCTTGGTAGGAGCTAGCACACCACACACGCTACACCCCCAAGCCATTGCACCCCCATGTCCTGCAGCAGTTGTGGCGTCTACCCCTCGACCTCGGCGGCGAAGTCGGCGGTGGGTGGCAGCGTGGCGGCGCCGGGCGGCGGCGGAGCGAGCAGCACCTGCAGCGGCGGCTGTGGCTTCGACGACAGCGGCGGCGGCGGCGGAGCCCGCGGCACCCGGCGGCGTGGTGAGGCTCGGAGACTTCGGAAAGGGAGACATGTCAGCAGCTGCGGCGGGGAGGAGGGGAGACGCAGGGGAGGGGGCATGACTTCAGCGAGGCGCCCTGGCTGCCACGATGGCTGCCGTGCGGGCGTGCTGGCTGGCGCTAAACCAACACGCTGGCCACAACCGTCCGTGCGCTGGCGCATCGAGCCGCCACGGCAGCACGACGACGCCGCCACAACAGCGCGACGAGGCCGCCATGGCGGCACGCAAGTAAGAGGAGGAGTGCACGGCAGAAACGTGAATAGGAGGCTCAGCAGGAACAACCTGCTCCGAAACCATGCTACGAGAGGTTTTAGCTAGGTAGGAATAGTGACAAGAGAAAAGAGAGCACTAGAGAATGTTGGGCTGAGAATAGCCCTAGGATCTTTTCAGAATGCTGAGTCTTTGTAATAGAGTGCTTGATAGCATAGCGGAAGTCTTCGTTTGAACCCTTGTACTGGTATGTGAGAACAAGTGATTGATTATAGCAAAGAGACAAGGTATATATAGTAATACAAAAGAATAAGAAGAGTCAAATTGTCTTGCACTTCGAGGGGTACATTCCCTTTTACGACTCGATAAGGCGACTCGGGTAACCATCCGTATTGTAATATCGGGATGCTTATTTGTCCTTACTGTCGCACTGACCCATGACTCTTCCAATTCTGACTGTTGGGTATCGTAAACCCACGTCAACTGTCCGTAGTACTATAGCAATGTTGACTCGGTAATCCCCGTTGTTGTGGTCTTCGCATATTCGTACACTCACACGAGAGTCCAGAAATATCTTTAAGTCCTTTTATCATTTCCAACACCCTCCTTCATTTCTGGAGTGTCGATGTGATCGAGGTTCTCGACGTGTTGCAGTCTATTCAGCAACATGCAGTACTAGAACTTGGCCTTCATCAGCCTCTTGGTCGTAGTCGGCTGCCATTTCAATGGTGGGGCAGTAGACCGATTGGAGGCGGCCCTGCTCGATCTCGTCCTTCACAAAGAAGTAATGAAGTGACATGTGCTTCGTCCTGTTCGCGAATCCGTTTTTATTGGCAATTTTGATTGCTGATTGGTTGTCGCAGAAGAGAGAGAAGCTTGGTAGCTCGGCAATCTTTGCTTCTTCGAGCTGCTCACGTAGGTACAGTCCTTCCTTCGCAGCTATGCAAAGAGCGATATATTCAGCTTCAGCAGATGAGAGAGCAATTAGTTCCTCCTTTCCCGAGTGCTTGGAAATAGTGCCGATAGGTTCCAGAGGGTAGATGTAAGCGGTGCGTGAGCGGCGGTTGTCCTTATCGCCGGCGTGATCTGCATCGACGTAGCCGATAAGTTCGTTCTTGGTGGCAGCGTTCTTATGGTAGGTCAGGCCGATCGTCGGGGTCGAGGCGAAGTAGTGGAGCGCGCGATCCAGTTGAGCGCGCGATCCAGTTCCTGCAGATTCCCCCCTTCAGGTCACTTAAGGTAGGTAACGAGTTGGCTAGTGACGTAGGAGAGGTCAGGACGGCAGGTAACGGCGGTGAATAGCAGAAATCCGAGTTTCTGCTGATACTCCTGGATCCCAGCCGGTGTGAGCAGTGAGGCGGTCGACGCAGGTACTGGTGGCGTGTAGGTGTACGGAGTAGCAAGGGGTAGCGATGGAGCTAGCGGCTCCTGCGGCGACGTCGGCAGCGACGACAATGGCGACGACGACGGCGGAGCCTGCGACACCCGGCGGCGTGGCACGGCTCTGCAATGTCGGGGAAGGATGGCGCGAGACAGCAATCAGTTGCGGTGGGGAAGAGGGGGGGACGCAGGGGAGGGGCCGGGTCTTTGACGGCGGAGCCAGTTAGCGAACTGGGGCGGCTGCTGCGAGCTGAAGCCGATGTGGAGAGTTGGGGCCGACGCGACGAGCTGGTGCCGATGCGGCAAGCTGGGGCCAGCGTGGCGAGCTGGGGCGGTGCGACGAGCTGGGGCCGACATGGCGAGGTGGGGCCGACGCGACGATCTGGGGCAGTGCGGCGAGCTGGGGTCAATGCGGCCAGCTGGGGCCGGCTGCGAGCTGGGGGCCGCACGGCGAGCTGGGGCCGATGCGGCAAGTTGGGGCCGGCACGGCACGACGCTCCATGGGGGCGGGGCGGTGGGAGGAGAGGGGAGAGTGAGTTGCGGAAGCATGGGGAGCAGGCCTGGCAGGATGGACCTACTCAAAAACCATGCTAGAAAAGGGTTTAGCTAGGTAGGAGAAAGTAGCGAGAGAAAAGAGAGTGACTAGACAAGCGAGAGAGGTACAAGAAGGGAGCTGTCCCCTCGACAGTAAGAACCAATAGAACACCTACCTAGCCTACACATATATGTATAAATATATTTGTTGACAATCGGGGCCGCAGTCGACGTTTAACCCAATGAATTGGATAACGGTGGGGAAAATACAAATAGTAATGTCGAGAATCTCTTGGATTCTTGTTTCCATGCGCGCCAGATATGGTTGCACGAGATGACATCCATGTAGGCGACTAGAAGAATGTAATGCCCCTGAAATTCGAGTCTGTACATTCCAGGGTCGTGGGGCAGTTGCACGAAGCCGAGTGAAATTAGAACTTTGTGAAGATACTGCTGCCACAGGTGAGGATCTTGTTTGATGTCATAGAGGGACTTCAGTAATTTGCAGATGTGGAGTCCATTGTCGCAAGTGTGGGGAAACTCGACAAAAATATATGCATTAAGGTTTGCGTTAAAAAAAAAAAAAACACATTTTAAGCGTCCAGTTGGCGAAGTGGTTGGTGGCGGCTGGCAGCAATGGTGAGAAGAATTCGAACTGAGGCATGGCGGCTGACCAGAGAAAAAGACTGGTCGTAGCCGATGCCGTGGGTTTGTTCGAAACCTCGAACAACCCATCTCCCCTTGAATCTGTTTGGTTTGCCTACTACATTTGTCCTTATGCGAAAGACCCACTTGCCTGAAAGAATTTTCTTGGTGCGTGCTCCTTTGTGCGTAACGACTTTCCACGTTTTCTGCCTCTCGAGAGCTGCTACCTTGGCATTCATAGCTGTTCGCCTCTTGTCAGAATCAGATCCAGAGGGGGTTTGCTTGACTATTTTCGGCTCAATCCGAGCTATTGGTTGCTGAAATGCTACGGCAAGGCCGAGGATCTAAAGAGCCGATTAGTCATCACGAGGATGTGGTTGACAAACTTTGACGATGCCATCGTAGTCAATTTTAGATGGCAGATGGCTGGCACCGTCATGTGATGCTGCCTCAGTTTTATGTCGGCGCAGGTGCTCCTCATAATTATGGGCACCCTAAGTTGTGGCAAGAAGCAAATGATCTGAGAGGGGAATGAAGGGCAGAGTAGTTGTATTGTTGTCACGCGTCAATGGAATATAGGAGTCGAACAATGGTTTGGCTGCTGACTTGGATGGCTGCAGAACTGTAGAGGGTCTTGTTGCTGCACTATCGGGCGGATAATATTCTTCGGCCGCATCTGCTTCATCTTGAGGGGTGGCAAAACTCCGTTCGACTGTAGCGATCAGGATCCCTCTGTTGGCATTCTTTGTCGCGCTCGAAGTCATTGAGAAAAT